GTGGAGGGAAAGAGAGAGTGGGCGAGGAGGGAGAAACAGCGTGGAATTAAATTTTCACGGTAGAAACTTTCGCGGTCGTCGTAGCTATTTCCCGAGTATACTCTTCGGGCAACGCGAATCTTTCGAGTATCCCTTTGCTTTATTAAAACGTATCTCCCTCTTTCTTCCTCTTTCTCCCTCTCTCTCTCTTTCTCTCTCTCTCTCTCTCTCTTTCTCTCCCTCTCTCTCTCTCTCTCTCTCTCTCTCGCAAATGACGCTACTGAACAATTGAGCACGATCTACGCGAACCGGACGCTTGTTATATTTGCGATAAAAATATTTTCCAATTAAATACAAAATATCTAAAAAAGAAAAGTAAAAAGTAAAAAAAATAGGAAAAATTATAGGGGTGTCGACCTGCCCGAAAAGGTAAATGAATTAAATTCGGGTACCTCTTTTTTCCCCATCTTTTTTTCTTCTTTTTTTGTCCTTTTTTTGTACATTTTTATTATTTTCATTTTTTTTTTGTTTCAGATTGATGTAGTAACCGTAAGCGCTTTTAAATTGTAGATTTTAATCCAATTATTAAATCGGGTCGTATATGAAAAGTTAGTTCGCAGGGAGAAACAAAAAAGAAAGAAAAAAAAAAGAAACAAAAAGAAGAAAGAAAATTGTTCCCCCGGAATATTAATTAATTCGCGAACGTATTTTAAATAAATCGAAATATATATTTTCGTTTTTATTTTATATATTTGTATTATTTAATTTTATTTTATATTATTCCATTCCATTTTTCTTATTTGTCTTCGACAAATTAAAATTTATCGGTTATGAGATTAAAAGAAGGGAAAAAGAAGAAAAGACAAAAGAAAAAAGCAAACAAAAATAGGAAAGAAAACAAAAAAAAGAAAAATGAAAAAAATATCCTTTCAAAAATTCTGTGGTTCACGTGGTTCCCAAATTGGATGTGCATGCACGCGTATATACATACGTGTGCATCTATCCATATATATATGTACATACATACATACATACATACATACATACGTAGATACATGGATAAATGCATACATACATACATACATACATACATACATACATACATACATACATACATACATACATACATACATACATACATACATACATACATACATACATATATATATATATACAAAACGTATTGATATTTGAACGTTCTCGTTGGTATCAGTGAAATTGATAGGTTATCGGTGTGTTTAGGGATCGCGCGAATCGCCATAGCAACGTCTGAATACATTTCCACTTTGATTCAACGGCGTGCGAGAGAGCGAACCATTGAGAGATGGAGTAGGAGGATGAGGAGGATAGGAGGATGAGGAGGAGGGTTGCAGGGAGGGGTAGGAGTAGTAGGAGGAGGGTTGGTGCTGAGTACATCTAGGAGCGGTTGGCAATGATGGTGGTAGTGGTGATGGTGATAGTGGCGTTGGTGGTGTTGGTGGCGTTGGTGGCGGTGGTGGTTGATGGTGGCGATGTTGGTGGTGAATGAGGGGTAGGAGAGAGTCACATACCGACGTTAACGTCGACGGTGCCCGAGTACATCGGTTTATTTCTATCAACACGTGGCACAGTGCTCTACCGCTTTATCGTAACATCGACGAACTGCATTTCCCTTCTCCTTTACTTCAAATCTCCTCTCGAGGAGTCCTCTCAGGGTACTCCTCCTCATCACACATACATACACGTAAACGCGCGCGCACGTACACGCACGCACACACGCACGCAGAAAGGTGGCGGGCGCGTCAAGAGAAAGTTTAAAAGTTTTAAATGACGTGCCTGCGAATCTCGTCTTATTCTCTCTCCTCTTTCCTCGTTTGAATATGGAAAGCAATGTAATTTGACGGTTATTTCTTCGGTTATTCAAAAAAAAAAAAAAAAAGAAAAAAGAAAATAAAAAGAAAAGAAAAAAAAAAGAAAGAAAGAAAGAAAGAAAGAAAAAAAAAGGAACGAATAAAAGAAGGCATGTCTTCGTAAGCCATTTCCTTTTTTTTTTACTTTTTTACTTTTTTATTTTATTCATAAAAATTTATTTAAAGATCGGTTAAACGGAGGAGATGAAAGCGAAGAATAGAATTAAAAAAAAAAAAAAAACAGAAAAAGAAAATACAGAGAAAATTCGAACAAACAAACAAACAAACAAACAAACAAACAAATGAACAAACGAACGAACGAACGAACGAACGAACGAACGAGCGAATGAACGAACGAATAAAAAAAATAAGAAGAAAGAGAAGGAAGCCAAGGAAAAGAGATGGAAGATAAAATATAAAAAGGGAAGGTACCGTGAAGATACTGTTTCATTTGATACGATAAATAAATCCGCACGAGGAATGGTCGTTCATATATTCGCGATAATAAAATAACGAGAAAGAAAGTTCACAGTTTGGCTTGAGTGTGCTGCCACAGTGTGAGGAGAAAAGGATTTATAGACGGTAATAATTGACGGTAACATCGCGAACGAGAGCATAACACAACACACAAGACAGGGATAGAGAACGGAGAGAAAGAGAGAGAACGAGTATCTCTCTCTGTCTCTTTCCCCCACCCTTTCTCTCTATATATTTTGCTTATGTGTGTTGCATCTGTGTCGTGTACGTACATATATATATATGAACTAACATATGTACACATGTATGCATGTATTATGTATATATATATATATATGTGTGTGTATGTATATATATATGTTTGCGCGTGAGAGCCTGTTGAAGAGGGGTGGAGATCTACGGAAAATGACGGTGCTGCGTCGAGTGCACTCGCGTTCGCGTGAACCGTACGATATACATATGCATGCAGCATCGAGGAGTGGCTTGACTTCTCTATTAAAGAAGGCCTTCTGGCTCATCGGTTTCGTCATACACACAAAGGAGCAACGACCTCTTTCTCTCTTTCTCACTCGCTCTGTCTGTCTGTCTGTCTGTCTGTCTGTCCCTCTCTCTCTCTCTCTCTTTCCCTCTCTCTGTTTCTCTCTCTCTCTCTCTCTCTCTCTTCTGATACGAGACGCCATACTTTTTTTTTTCTTCGTCTCTTTCTTTATTTTTCTTTGCGTTCTCTTCTTCTATTTTTTCTTTTTCTTTTTTTCCCCCTTCGTTGTAACAAAATTTGTTATATTTTGACTGAAACGTTGCCTAGAGGGAGCGGGGAAAGGGATGGGGAAGGAATTAAAAAAAGGAAAAAGGAGAAAAATTTTAAACGATCAAAAATAAAGGAAAAAAAAATAAAAAAGAAGTGATAAGAGGATTATCGAAAGCTTTTTTTTTTATATATAATCTTTTTTTTAATTTTATTTTGTTTTCTTTTTTTCTTCCTTTTTTTATTCGTTTTTTTATCGTCATCCTTCTACTTTTTAAAGTATATATTTACGCTTACTCCGAATATTCCATCCCACCCGTTCCACCATCACCAACACCATCATCCCCCGTCATTTTCCATGTTCCTTTTTACAAAGTTTGTATGTTTTTAGATTCACTCGAGCGTGCGAGGAAAAGAGAGAAAGGAAGAAAGAGATAAAGAGAAAGAGAGAGAGGGCGAGAGAGGGGGGGCGAGAGAGAGAGGGAGCGAGATAAGTTGTCAGAGAGAGACGAAGTAGAAAGAGAGGGAAATATATGAGTGGCGTGGAGGTTTGGCGGAGGAATGGGGAGAGGGTGGTAGAGGAGTGGGAGCAGGTAGAATAGCGAACAGAAAGAATACATTGGGAGGGGAACGCTTATCGGTGATGTAGTAGTTATGTAGGTGTCTATGTGTTAGAGGGACGAGGCTTGGATGAGTACGAAGCTAAAAGATGAAAGTATAACCCAGGCAACAGTGGCTCCCAAATTGTTAGCGATGTATTATACATCACTGGTGTATGTATGGATATAAAACCATTCGTTTCTCTTCGTGGTCTTTTTTATAGAAGGAATTTTTATCGGGATAAAAACATCTCGGCCATTTTGAAATAAATTCATCTCGACTGTTATTCGACGATAGTCATCATTTTATTATTAAAAAATGAAAGCATACCAATTCATTATTTTTCTTTTATTTCTTTTCTTTTATCTTATTTCTTTTTCTTTTTTTTTTTTCCTTTCTTTTTTTCCTTTTGTTCTTTTTTTTTTCTTCCGAGAATTTTATTTCAGAAAATTATGTCGTCTGCTTTTCTTTTCTTTCTTTTTTTTTTCTTTTTTTTCCTTTTCTTTTTCTTTTTCTTATTCATTATCGCGGTTATTTCGAGTATGAGTAGTAGTTAGGAAAACGGAAGTAGGTTCTTTATTTATCCGTTCGCATCAGGAATGAGAAGAAATTTAATGTATTTGACGAACATAAAGATAAGCTTTATAATTACGACGTCGCTATGAGGCATCCGTCGAGGCAATTAAATTATTCTCCAAAGCGGAATGGATAACGATCCGTTAGAGAACTATAATAATATAAAAGTTATATTAATAACTATCTATCTAACAATAATAAACACTGATCATTATCGGCGCTACCGGTATAATTTCGTGTAATTTCTTCGAGCTTGGAATAGATATGTCGGTAATTTCGTTATCAAATTTTGAATAAACGATAAAATGAGTGATCGACTAAAATGTCGATAAGGAAGAGACATGTATTATTGATATTTATTTCATCTAACTTATCTGATTCTTATCCCCGTCGATAAAATATTTCTTTAAAACGTAATCTTATCTACCGTACGATCAAATCGATTATCATACAATGATAGTATCACTTACGTGATAAATCGCGAAGATAAAATTATTCGTATAATATCAAAATTATATTTTAATATGTATATATATATATATATATATATATATATTAAATATATATGTATGAATATGTATAAATATATATATATATATAATTAATATATGTATGTATATATATATATATAATTAATATATGTATGTATATATATATATATATATATATATATATATATATATATATATATATTAAAATGAAAACATAATACATCATTTTTTTTTTCTTTACAGGACGAGGTGTTGACGATATCTGAAAAAGTTGTCGTTCGTGTTCACGACTTGGTTACCTGGTTATCACCTACGTTGGAATGGTCGTGGGGCCGTGAAATTTTTTACCCGAGTTCACCAACACCAACATCCTCTCCTGAGAGTAGTCCACCGAGATACGAAATTCCTCAACCCCAGGTTTTGACCGATCCTGGAATCGATTTTTCTGACGTTGACAAACAACAAAAGGAATATGAGAGCAATATAAGTTCTTCGAAAAAATCTGATTGCGACGGTCAAACCAAAGTGGTTGTACTTTCGTATCCGAGGTATTGTAGATATCGAGCACTTTTACGAAGATTGGAAGGTGCGGAACCTTCCTGGCTTTGTTCTTCGGTAGCTGCTGCACTCGGTGGATTCACTGCTACACCTGGAACGCGCGTACTCTTCTGCAGAGATACCTTCGATTATCCTGATTTGGAGACCCATGAACTACTTTGTAATCATTTAGGTAAAGTTTCATTTCCTACGTTTATAAACTATATAAATTCACAATAAATTTATTAACGATATATATATATAAGCCGTCTACTTCGAAAGTAACCTAAGTCCATTTATATTTAGATTTATTTTTTGTTTATATTTATATATTTTTTATATTTAATTTTTATTTTTGTCTATTTACTTATTTTTTTTTTTTTGGACTTAGGCCACTTTCAAAATAAACGGCTCATATAAAATATATGTAATATATATTAATGATATATTCATATATGTATATATAATTATATATATGTATATACATTTTATATATACATGTGTGTGTGTGTGTGTGTGTGTGTGTGTGTGTGTGTGTGTATGCATATAGGTTCATAAATTTTGTCGACAGAATATTAATTAGCAACGTCTTAATTTAGATAACTTTCTATTTCGATGATTGCTATGTCAAATGATATTTCGTAACGATTTAATTGAATATATTGTATCAAAAATGATATGGCAAATTGTAATAATGCACGTTAATGTTTTTATATCATTTTAAATACTATTTTTTGATATTAGTATAAAGTAAGTAAACAATGAGAGAGAGAGAGAGAGAGAGAGAGAGAGAGAGAGAGAGAGAAAGAGAGAGAGAGAGAGAGAGAGATATTGCATTGTTATAACTTGAAGACGACTAAGAAGTAAATCGTAACCTCATACTTCTTATACTTGTCATTTTTGTATCATATTTTTGTTACAACTATTACGAAATGTTCTTAACGTAAATTAGGAATGATTGGTGATTTCACATTGTATGTAGATATGATATAAATTAAATGTAAACAATGAATAAATGCAAATAAATCGTTCAATTTTAATTTTTATGTAAAACTTATTTTACATATATATTTATTTTACAAAATAAATTTTACATAAAAATTAATGATACGTTAATTTAATTAATTTTCGTATAAATGTGAATTAATTTTTGAAAAATAATGATAGAACGAGACAATTATTTGCATATATATACATGTATAAATGAATTCTTTAACATTATTTATTTTCCTCTTTATTCACAAATTTTTGTTTTGTTATCACGACATGAAATATTTACATAGTACGCGTCATTTCTAAATAGTACAATTATTTTTTTTTTTTTCGATATTTTTCCGTGCTTCTTTATAGATAGGCTAGTTAATTTTATAACCTATAAGAAAAAGGTGATCTTAACAAATTTCGAAAAAAAAAAAAATGAATAATTGATTTTTCAAATCACATTTTTTGGCTCAATACTAAAAACATTTGGTTCGTCCTGTATATTTTTGGTTTCATGATCAGATCTATATATATATATATATATTTCTAATTTCGTGATTCTAACCCAGTTCTTAGAATTTCGAATGATCTATTTATGTTATCTATAATCATCGTACTATAATTTATGTTACACGTTGAAATTTATATATGTTTAACGACAGAAATAAATGAAAAGCATTACGAATAATCGTATGATTAATATGTATATATATATATAATATATAATATATATATATGTAATATGTATGTATGTATGTATATACATATATACATATATATATACATATTAATCATACTAAAAATATACAGGATGGACCAAAATTTCATATATATATATCTTTGAATATAAAAAAAAATTATGAAATAAAAAATATTTGTTATTATTATCATCATCATCATACGATATGATTATTTATGATTGTTAATATTTTGTTCTGTTAGAACTTAATTTCAAATCATTATACGAAATAATCCTATTGGATTTTATTCGATAATAAGACAATAAGATTCGTTGATTATTTTGACCAATGAAAAGTAAGTAAGCGAGACTGTTGTCGAATGTTTACTACGGATATTAAGTTGATGACAGTAGACTTTAAGACGTGTAACAGTATGGACGTTTGTTCTTTTATAATGAATGAAAAAAACAAAGAGAAAGAATTATTATTAATTTGAAAACTCTCACGTCCTCATTCTCTCATCAATAGTTTTGTTTTATTATTTTCTATTGTAAAGCGAATATATATATATATATATATATATATATATATATATATATATATATATATATATATATTAATCATTAAAGAGATACTGAATGTAGTAGTTTGTTATTGTTCTTATAAGAAAAAGAAAAGGAGAAAAAGAAATGTGTCGACAGTTAAAGAAAGCTTTCGATTGATTTTTCGTAGAAAGAAAGAGAGAGATAAAGAGAGAGTGAGAGAGAGAGAGAGAGAGAGAGAGAGAGAGAGAGAGAGAGAAAGAAAGAAAGAAAGAAAGAAAGAAAGAAAGAAAGAAAGACAGTTATTGATTTGATACAAGAAAGAAAGATAGAGAAAGAGAATGAAAAAAAAGAAAGAAAAGGAAGTGTTCGATTATAGTATAGTCGAAATTATGTACATAACATTATTGTGAGTTCAACGATAAGAAGCATTTATTTTTCGTCCATATATTTTTCAATCGTAAGATATTATTTTTATTTTCATCGTACATTGGACCGGTCGTATAATCAATGTATCGTTTGCGTAAAGTAATGTAAAGACGGCGTGTTCCTAACCTGTGTATTTATGTTTCTATATACGTGTATGATATATATGTATTACATGTACATACGTGCATTATTTTTAGAAGAACGATCACGTCGAGGTTATGAAATAATTTTAATCTCGTTAATTTGTGAATTTGCTTATTCGATTTGATTCGTTAGAAGTATAATAATAATAATAATAATAATAATAATAATAATAATAATAACAATAATAATAACATTAATAATAATAATAAAGATATAAAAAATTAAGAAATTAATGATGATAATTCATATTCGTTTTTCGTTTTTCTGAATTTTAAGTTAATATTGGTGTTGTTCTAATTACGTCATGCCGATCATCATGAAGATTCGTAAGAATCGAATCATCAATTTGAAGATAACGGGTGAGACAGTTACAACATCGGTTTTATCTAGACGTAAGTGTTTTCTTCTTCCTTTTGTTCTTTTTTATTTTTCTTTTTCTTTTTCTATCTCGCGAACTTTATATACATTTGTAACGTAATTTTTGATCGAAGGAAGGGGTCCGTAGTTGAGTACGTACGTACGTGAAGTCAATTTCTCTTGCTTTGAATTAATCGCGCGAAGTTGCGCACAAATCTTTCGATGCTCTTAAAGAAAGGAATGACGTAATTTAAAGGAGTAAGGAAAGAAGGAAGAAATGAAGGAAGGAAGGAGAAAAATGACGATAAAATAATTATATATAAAACACGATTATCTATTTATTAATAAGATTTATTAATTCTGTTATTTATATATCTATCTTCGAAGTTTCATAATCATATATTTTTAATTTATTAGTTCATTTTTAATATTTAATTATGGTTATACTATGTATTACTATATATAATGTGTATTATATATCTATATAACTATTAATAAGTAAATAATAAAATTATAATATAACTGTGAATAACTATATATATAATATATATAATATACGTATAATACTATATAAAACTATAATAACTAAATATTATAATATAACTATAGTGTCATTATACCGGATGTTGTTTGAAGAAAAAAGATTGTCATATTTTTATCTCGCATATACATTTTTTCGAAAAATTGTTTGAAGAATCATTTCAAGGAAAACTGTTTTTTTTTTATTTTTTTTTTTTCAAATAGACAAAAACATTATTTGAAATTAAAAAAGAAAGAAGAAACGAATAATTATCGTAGAAAATTTTTTATTTTGTTTTTATCGATCTTCAATTTATCGAGATATTTAACAAAATTATCTGTATCTAAAAGAAAGTTTCTAAATTTCTCAAATAATACCTACGATCCTTGATCGTTTCGTAAATATCTTATAGACTTGTTTATTTGCATTCTTTAATGTTTACCCCAAATGTGCACGCACATATGTATGCACATTGTACGCATGCACGCATACACGCACGCACAGACATTCGCATAAGAAGAGACGTAAGAGATAATAAACGATCATGCTGATTAAACACTTCGTCTTTTGTAGACAATATTAAACAAATAGTTCTAAGAATTAAATTTATTAGCACGAAGTTGACATGATTCTTTTTTATCTCTCGTGTTTTTCTCATAAGTTGATATTCACCAACAACTCTTTTCAAATTTCGAAATATGCCAAGATATTTTGGAAAGATCCGAAAGATCGAAGATAATTATTTCGGAAAATCGAAGGTGAATAAAAGAAAATATTTAAAAAAAAAAACAAAAAAAATAAAATAAAAAAATTACTTCTTTTATGTAGAAGTTGTTATTATAAAAAACAAAATCTAATTTTTCAATTGAAACAAACAAAGAGTGATTCTGAAATAACCTTGAAACGTTCCATCAAACAAAAAAAAACAAGAAATATCGTAATATTATCTCCTTAAATAGGAATAACTATTGTCTGAACAATTATTACGGCCATATAATGCCGTAATAAAAATTACGAGATAAACTTTATAAAGCTTTATATTGAACATCCTTTATATCGTTGTACTTGTAACATAAATATAATATATATGATTATAGTTAACATTTCTGAACCTTCTACATCAATATTGGGTCGCGTTAAATTTTTAATCAACTGCGAAATATTTTAATGGCCTTCTATTTTAATGCCAAAGTAATATTAATTCGTAAAAGATTTTTTTTGTGAGATAGTTATTGTAAGTAGAATTTTCTTGTGAATTAGCAAAATTATTGGAGGAACAGTAACGTACATATAATTAAAATAATATACAAGCTACTTCAATCTATTGGAAATTTTTAAAAATGTTTTATTATAAACATTTGATTTGTAATATCAATACTAACAAATGTATTGGATATCGCACGACAAAAAGGTTGAGAAATGCTGAACTATAATACTATTTAATAATAGTATGATATAATCGTCTTATATGTATCGTATAACTGTAATTAAGGTTGCTATTTATTGAATTAGTATTTTTAAACATTTTATCGATATTTTAAAATAAATGTTTAGTGTTTATAAAAAAATAGTATTAGTAGGTAATATAAATGACGCAATACTGACGTAATATTGACATTTAATTATTTATACTGATTAAAATATATATATATATATATGTATATATAAGTAGTCTATATATATATAAACAAAATACTTATAATTAATAAAAATTAATGAAAAAAATGCAAATTATTGCATAGTAGTAATTATGCAATAATTAAATAAAAAAAGAAAAACGATTAAGTTATACAAATTTAATTGACATAATTTGATTCTATATATTTATAAAGAAATTCGAAAATTTTGTACATGATCGTAATTGAAATGAATTTTCAGCGCCAAAATTAAAAGGACGGCCACGGAGGAAACGTAAAAAGCGAAGTGCTTCACCTGGTGAATCCAGCAACGAAAGTGAAGCTTCAGTTGCTTCTTCGTCAAAATGTGCGTCGAGCAATTCGAGTCAACAATTGATACCAGCTCCCGTTGGAAGGCCACCATCGGCGGGTGTACGTCGAAGCGAACGCAAAACAAGTGCCGAAGAAAAAAAATTCATGGTCGATGTACAGAATTTCATGAATTCAAGGGGCACTCCAGTCGGAAAGATGCCATTGTTGGGATACAGGCAAAGTCAGTATACATGTTAACTCTTTTTTAAATTTTATTATTATTTTTGTTATTGTGATTATTATTATTGTTATTATTATTATTGTTATTATTATTTTTGTTATTATTTTATTATTATTATTATTATTATTATTATTATTAATCATTTGGACTATAATCATTTGATATTTTATTTTATTGGAAATTATTATTTGCATTATAGTTTGATTTTTATTGCTTTTGTTTTCTTCAGATATATTTTTTATATTATTTTTTGAACATATATATGTAGATATATAGAGGTTGATTATAAATTGAAGGGTCAATTCAATATCACTTTTACGAAATGTTATAGAGAAAAACATATATATATATATTAAGAATGATTTCATGTTGTCAACATGATTATATTTTTTATAAAACAATTTATATATTTTTTAATTAATTATCTATTTTAATCTCGTCTTTAATAAAAAATTATGAAACAAGTATGGACATAAAGTTAGAGGTATTAACATATCTTGTAAAATTGAAGTTTGAAAGAACTACAACTGAGAATTATAAATTTCGTTAATTGAATAATATCTGAAATGTTACAGAATGTAAAATGTAGAAAAAGTAGGATTACAAAATGTCGATTGTGCACAAAATAAAATAGTATATATTTTTAACTTTATTTATTGAGTTAATTAACCTATTATTTATTTCCTTTTTTGTTATTTAAAATTAATTCTAAAGTTTTTATTTTCAATTAAGAGCTCTTTGGTAAGATAATAATTAAACTTATTGTAAGATTGTTTTATATGTTTTTCATTGTTTTTATTATCTCTTAAAATTGTTTATTTTTATTTGAAATTATTGGTCACATAACTATAGACACTAATAATTAATTATTATAAAATCTAATTATTAACTTTAATCCTATACAAAATTTAATTATTGACTTTAGTCCTATACTTGTTTAATAATTGTTTCAAAGGTAATTGATTAAAATATCTGATTAATCGAAAAGAAAAAATACAAGGTATTTCCGTAAGAAAAATTATCGAATATTTTATTTCGTAATCTTAAAATATTTGGCACATCAATTCATGTGAAAAATTTTTCTTAATATATTCTTTTTCTGTTGCTTCTAACGAATAAAATATTTAACTAGTTCTTAGTTTATATATATATATATATATATATATATATATATATATATATATATATATATATAATCAACCTATGTGTATATGTGTGTATATATATTGTCAGTGTATCCCTTTTATTCAAGGATTATTTGATTCAATGTAATTCTGTAATTCGTCCTTTATTCTTCGATTTAACATCGCTTGTCGTTCATTCGCTTGTTTACGCTTTTCAATAATAATTGGGTCGCGTCCACCGGGTGTTCATTGCCATTAGTAAGATGTTTTTATTTTTAGATGATAGTTTATCTTTCTTCCTCTCGTTGGTTGTTTTTGTCTTAACGAGAGAAACGAACATATATATAAATGGAAATGATGATTTCAAATATATTTCCGTTATATTTCCCATAGAAATGATTATGATTAAACAGCATAATCGCATGCGAGGAATTGAAAATTTGCAGGAATTGATAATTTGAATTGGTTATATTTGATAAGTCCCTATGTGTCGAGTAATTTAACAAATTTGAAAAAAAAGTTTCCTTTTTTGATATCTTTCGTAATTCTACCGTCCTGTTAGTCAATTAATTTTCGAATTCTATCCTTCTTTTATTTAGAAATAAACAATTTTTCAATTTCCTTTACGATAAGTTATCCAATCGTGATTTCCTATTAAAAGTTCGTTCTTTCCTTTTTTTTTTCAATAAAATTTAAAAAATAAAATTTTAGTTTCCTTTTCTGATGTCCCTAATTCTAACCCTTTTGCCGATTAATTCTGAAATTGTATGGTTCTATTTCATAGAAATTGATAATTTTTTAATTTCTTTTATGATAAATCAATCAAATGTCACTTTCTATTCCTAATAAATGTCAGGAATAATCTAAATTCAAATTTTCAATAAATAACAAATTTTAAGTTATTTTTTTAATAAATTCTAATTATTATCGGCGCCAGATTATTTGGGTTAGCTAGCCTTTCTAATGATCACCGTGTTCTCTTCTTTTATAAACATTTCTCTCTATTATAATTTTTTTTTAGATTGATCGCATGTTGTTGCTTCTTCATTGATTGGTGTTTCACTGTATTTTTCTTTTTCTTCTGATGCACGTGTGTTCGTTCGTGTGTGCGAGTTAGAACACAATATTTTCCGTCGTTTATATTCTTTGGTTATTTTTCTTTCCGCGTCCTTCTATCGATCTAACAGTTTCGCTTGTCTTATCATTTTCTTGTTACATTCGAATAATCTTACAATACACGTATATTTTGAAAATAATTTTTCAATCAAATTGTTACTTATTGATTTGTTTCATGAAATAAACAAAGTATCACCACAAAATTGATTGAAAAATTTTACGGGAAAAAAGAAAGGAAAAGAAAATAATCATTATGCGACATTGTTGTAATGTGAGAGGGGTTAAAATTATGATTAAAAAAAAAAAAAGTTGTTTAAAACGAATCGTGTCGTAATTTACAAGATATATGATTTTGATTTTTCTTTCACAGTCGATCTGTTCCTGTTTTATACGAAGGTACAGACACTCGGTGGATACGATTCCGTTAGCGCTGGACGTCTCTGGAAAACCATTTATGATGATATCGGTGGTAATACAGGATCCACCAGTGCTGCTACTATAACTCGTAGACATTACGAAAGGTAGGATGGATGATGATGGAAGTTTCTGATGATGGAAGTTTCTGAGCAAAGAAATAAACAAATAAAAAAAATTAAAAGAAAAAGAAAGAAAGAAAATGATTACCTGGAATTATTAATATCAAAAATATTTTTTGCAGGTTGCTTTTACCTTATGAAAGGTATCAAAGAGGTGAGGAACCTAAAGTGAGATTAACACACGGTAGACGTACGAAAACTAGTAGTATATCTGAAAGTCCGGTGGATGGAGATCAAGAGACCAGCGACTCACGTTCATCGGAGACACCACCGTTGGTTGAAACACCACCTGTAAACACTACTCCACCTTTGCAACCAGTTTTATCAAGCTCGGTAATGATACAATTTAAAAATTCAAATGAACTATATAAACATTGTTTCTTAAATAGTAATGGAGAATTCGATATTTCAGTCTTTTCCATCAAACGAGAAACCGAAATCAGAAGTCGGAAAAACATCCTCTTTGCGTAGCGTGAGAGTTAAACCGGAACGTTTGAAATCATTGAATACGATAATCGCCAACAACACACCACCAACGAGCCAGCAAACCAATCAACTGCCAAGTCCTCCTCCATCATCGAACACGCCAATTTCGACTCCAAGTAGTACACCTTCCACAACGCCTACGATCGTAACCGGGAATCAAAGTGTTCTTGAACGGCAATTAAACAGTCCTCTTGTGTCCCAACAAGTACCACCGTCCTGTTCGTCTCCAGGATTACCAGTGAGCACAGTAGCAATGAATGCATCGACGGTAGTAACGTTGACGCCGCCACCTGAAAAAGACATGAAAGAGATTAAATTAGATCCTAAGCAAACGACTCTGCTGGCACAGGGTAAGGAGAACATACCGTTGTTCGGTGAGAAGCCAATCTTCACAGAGAAGGCGATAGTAGCGCCAAGATCACCCGAGGTGATCGATCTCGAAAATGAAAGTGATACGAGTAGAGATAAGATAATAATACCAAGCTTTAAAAAACGAAAATTAGAAATATTGCGGGAGGGCGGTCTTGAAGTTACAGCCGTTGATCTTGATGCAAGACCGAGCGTGATTCAGAGCAGCGTAACGCCTACCCCGCCTACGGTAAAATCCGAGGATAAGTTATCGTCGCCTTATCCACTTTCCGTTACCCCGAATTCGGTGCCGAAACTTATATCCGTTACCGTAACACCGGACATAGGACATATGTTGCCATCACCTCAGGAGAATCAGACCAGTCATCACCAGCAGCCTCGGTTTCAATCCCAAGGAAAACAACATCCCGTCCATTACAATAACAATAATAGTACGACGAACAACAATAATACGACAAATAGTAAAGTTATTAATCTTGGTAGTTCGAACAATGCTGGATTATTGCAGTTATACGCGAATGCGAACATGGTACCAGCGTCGGCAACCCAGATGGTTAATTCTAATAATCGTTTTGTACCACCAAACGTTCCTAACGGGAGAATAATATTACCACCGAAGGTTACGCAGTCGAGGTCAATTTTCGCGCACAACGAAAAAACTGTATATGGAAATCCAAAAGACATTCTAATTTCTCCAAAGTATCGTCCTATTACGCATCAGCGGATACAGCCACAGCCGATCGGTAACAGTGACTTCAGTGGAAACGTTGGAGTTCTCGATCTTACACAAAAGCCAATCGAAAAGGCAACTTTCTCAAGACCAAGTCTTGAGATAGTTAGGGTACCTGTAGTGCCGAGGCCTAATCCGCTAAATTTAGAAATGAGGAAATCGCCGACGATTAAAGATAAGTCAACCGACTGTACGACGAAACGAGCCTCCTTTCCCGGTTATCAAACTGTTCTCGATAGTCGGACTATGGCATCGAATAATTTAGAAATCACATTAGTCAATCCTAAACAAAAAATTAATAATCATAACAGTGTACCGTCATCTCACGTGCAAATACCGAGCCCACCTAACAGAACTAGTAATCATCCTTCGGTAGCACAAAGAAGACAAATTAACGGGAAATATGCGGGAAGGAACGAACCAGTGTCGCCGTATACACCAAGGAAACCTACGCATCCTGTAATACCCAATGTACCTAATCTAAATCATTTGAATAGTGTGAATTCTTCTTATCCTAGAATGACTAACAACGTTCAACCACAAATAGGTATAGATAGAAGGAAAACAAGCGAGGCTGGCAAGGATCAGCAACGTAGAATTAGCGATGGTGATAAACCTGTAGTGTTGCAATCACAACAGCAGGACATAAGACAGACCACAGAGATTGGACGGCGTCACAGTGTACCAAGTATACCCTCCGGTTTTATACCCACTGTGCCACCAAGCAATCCAGCTTTTCTTTCGCAACTGCCAAACACTCCAGGCAAGTTCCTACCAATGTTGGACCCCATGTACTACTCTGCCATTTACAATGGCTTGTTTCCACCTCCGATACCGCCTGCAGCTGCAACGTCCTTTCTACCACCGGAGTTCAACGCTTACTACAAGGAACTATTAGCTTCCTCGCAACCAAGACTGGGGATGGCAGGTCAGCATCAACCTGCTGTACCGACATCCAAATAGACAATGGGATCTCGTCCAGCATATCTGGTCTAATTAAAAAAAAATGGGATGGTGGCTTAATTTTTAAAGACATGATCCGTCGGACTTCCTTGTTGTAAATAAATGTTGAAAGTATTCATGGAATATCGAAAAAGGGATTTAGTGCGAAGATAGAAATGCGGCATAGTATAATAATTGTGTCATTTTTACCACCCGTATGTCACGTTACTTTCATGATAACGAAAAGAATTAGGACTGTTTGAAGCGATATGTACCGATCGAAGAACTTTAAAAAAAAAAAGATGAACATCTTTTCGAATTTTCTATACCAGCGAAATGTGTTCTTCCTTTTTTTTTCTCTTCTTCTTTTTTTTCTTTTTCTATTTTTCTGTTTTTTAGTAAAGTTCTAAAGATCGTTCCTTCTATCTTTTTATTATTCCACTTTGATTAATTTTTTTTTCTGAGAAGAGCATTGATTATATATATATATATAATATATATATATAAAATAGAGATTATTTCGTTTGAACTGCGTACTAATATTCTGTGATAATAAGATGAAGAAAAGAGAGAGTGGTACAACGTCCCACGAAAAGCAAAGTACTTTTTATATATGTATATTGCTAATAACCGTATATGTAAACGTGTCTACGGTGAATGTGAAAAATTATTAATAAGAATAAGTATTTTTTTAATTTGTTGAACCCCGATTATATACAAGTCTTTATGCAAATTCGTTTTCGTTCTAGTGGAAGAAATGATTGGGGGATGGGGTAGAAATAAAGTGGTGGAAGAAGAAGAAGAAGAAGAAGAAGGGAGGTTGATACCACTCTGAGAAATATTAAATGTAGACGCAGGTATTGATTTTTGAAAAAATTTATACGATAACGTTTACGTTTGGTTATTTCTTTTTATTTTGTTATTCCCTTTTCTTTTCTCTCTCTTTTTTGTTTCTTTTTCTTTTTTTTTTATCGTATATGTTTGTGCTGCGGTGTGGTAAAAAAAGAAAAAAAAAAAAAAAAAAAAAAAAAAAAGAAAAAAGTAAAGAAAAGAAAAAAGAAAAATGAATGAAAGGAAAAAAACATTATGCCGCGAAATTCGAATAGGTGACGACAAATGCGGGTAACACGTGTATGTATACGGAGAGAGAGAAAACCGTTCGATCGATGATCGAAAAATCGAAGCCGTGTAATCGTTAAACTAATGTAACGGTGAAAACTCTTCTTGTGTAGTACTCGCGCGAGGAAAGGAGAGAAATAAAAATAATAATAATAAAAATAATAATAATAATAATAATAATAATAATAATAATAATAATAATAATAATAAATAAAGAAATAATAAATGAATGAATAAATAAATAAATAAATAAATAAATAAATAAATAAATAATAATAGTAATAATAGTAATAATAAAAACAAAAAAAATGCAAACCTTATTCTATTGTAATAAGTTAGAGAAAAATTTTCCTGATTTAAATGAAAAAAAAAAAAAAGAAAAAAAAAAAAAGAAAAAAAAGGTAAAAAAACAAAATTGCTACACGTTCACAATTACGACATACTGATTCTATTAGTCAGCTGTAAGTAATTAAAATAAGATAAGAGAAAAAAGAAAAAAAAAAACAAAATGATAAGTGCACGTTTATGCGGAGTCTCGTTCCAACGGGACAAGAAACACATGTAAATAGTGTATATATATATAAACAGAATGAAAAGATATCCAACGTACAGTTTAAGGCTAGATAAATCATTTATTATCTTTCAACGTTAAGCGTTTTAACGCGAGGTGAACTCTTTAAAATAAGATGTGTACAGGCTGTCTTTATTCGTGTGGCCAACGATCGTCGTCGCATCGTTATTATTCCCAATTAAGCTGAGACGAAACGATATTTTGTGGATGATAATACATTTTCGTCAGCCTTACCTCATACCTCCCCCCCCTCCGAAGTCTTCTTTCACATTTTGAATGGATAATAATCCGTACTAATTTTTTTTTCTTTCTTATTATTATCATTTTTTTATCCATCTTTTTTTTCTTTTTTTATTTTATTACTTTTCTTTTTTTTTCTTTAAACGTCACTCCTTTCGTTTTTGTATTTTTCTCTAACCCCCTTCCCCCTCCCCCTCTTAGATTTGATTCGATCATCAAGCGACAAACGATATTAGAGAATTTAAATTACGAAGCGAATGTCATTTTATTTTATTTTTGAATAATTATTTGTTATATATATACATATACATATACATATATATATATATATATATATATATACATACACACATACGATCGATTTGATCGATTGTTATATCCGATCGCAGCCGTACGCGTTTCGTCGGCCACAAAATATATCGGATATAAAGCAAATGAAAGAAAAAAAAATAAATTCATGGTATATCCGTATTATACGGTAGATATATTATTAGAGTATGCTCGTTTAGGATATTCCGATAACGAAAAAAAAAATATATATATATACATACATACATATATATATATATTATAAATAATAATATGAAATAACGTTATAATGAATCATTCGTAACTCTAAAGCATACTATGAGAGAGAGAGTACGGTCTAAATTGGACCAGTTCTAGCGAAATTCAGATTTCTATATCGATCGATGTCTTTCAAAAATAAGTTCGTATGACGCGAGTTCGACTCGTTTTTCTTTTCTTTTCTTCCCTTTTTCTTTTTTCGCCCCCCCTCCCCTTTTTTTCTTTCGCCCTTCCCCTTTTTTTTTCTTTCTCTTCTTAGTCGCCTCCCATATTTGTCGAAATCTCTTTAGAGTTATCTAATCTTTTCAAAACGTACGAATATGAGTTTTTTTTATTTATTTATTCTTCTTTTATATATATATATATCGTTCTTTTTTATTTTTCTCCATTTCTTATCAAAAAAAAAAAAAAAAAAAAAAAAAAAAAAAAAAAAAAAAAAAAAAAAAAAAAAAAAAAAAAAAAAGATAATTGAACGCATAGAAAAACGAGTTCATGCAAGCGTCACAAATTTGTTTTGCGTTTATATAAGGACTTTCAGCGATACCCGTTAAGTTTGTGAGTGTATTGTAATGAATTTTCGTATGAATCGAAAAAAGAAGAGAATTGAAGAGAAGAGAAGAGAAATGAAGAGAAGAGAAGAGAGAAGAAGGGAAGAGAAGAAAAGAGAAGAGAAGTGAAGAGAAGAGAAGAGAAGAAAAAATGAAAGAAAAAGAAAAAGAAAACATCGATTGTCATTATTTTTCTATATTAACATGTTCTTCAAATGGTGCTATATATGATAAATAATCAAAGATTTTTTTTATTTCTATATTTTCGTTAAATACTTTCGGGTATCGTTGGACGGACTTGATTGTTTTCGAGAAAAGATAATATCTGGATTGAATAAAAATTGTTATAGGAAAAAATAAAGAAAAAGAAATAAACAAAAAAGAAAGAAGAAAGGAAGGAAGGTATAATATAGGAAAAATGAAGAATGCACTCTTCTGACTTTGAGAATAAAAAAATAAATAAAAAAAGACCGATACTTTTTAAATATCTAGTATGATACTGCAGGATTCTCTTATTATCATGATTAAAAAAAAAAAAAAAAGAAAAAAAAGAAAAAAGGAAAAAAAAATGAAGAAAGAGTTAAAGAAATGCCTAAAATTGATCTTTTTTTGTTTTCTGTATCTAAAAAAAAAAAAATGAAAAAGAAAAAAGAAAAACACAAACAAATGAATAAACAAATATATGAAGAAGGGCTTGTATGAAAACACGTGCCATAAAAGTGTTTAGATAAATGACTTCGAAATCATGCGATAACGATGGTCGTTTGTATTTGTCTTCGACGAGTCCCTCGAATAATGATTGTCAGAGGAGAGAAATAATAAGTTAAATTGTAAAACATTGAAAAATTCCATGCGATGAGATTTTACGTAAATAATAGCAAGAAGAAAAAAATAGGAAAAAAAAAAGAATCATAACGAAAGCAGAAGAGAACGAAAGAAAGAAAAAAAGAAACTGTTTTCCTTTCCCTTTCGTTATTCATGATTGTTTGTAAATTTGAAAATTTTTAGCGAGTATGGAAGAGATGATCGCGAGTATGCCGAACGAGAAAATGAATGTTTGCGCATGAAAGAAAATTGAGAGAGTGAGAGAAAGAGAGGGAGGGAGAGAGAGAGAGAGAGAGAGAGAGGGGAGAGAGAGAGAGAGGGAGAGAGAGAGAGAGAGAAAGAGAATGAATTGTTTAAAAAACTATTGACTGCAAAATGAGTGTGAATGTTAGTTTCTTCTGTTCTTATTCTTCTATTTCTTTTTATTCCTCTCTCTCTCTCTCTCTCTCTCTCTCTCTCTCTCTCTCTCTCTCTCTCTCTCTCTCTCTCTCTCTCTCTCTCTCTCTCTCTCTCTCTCTTTTGTTTCTTTTTTTCTATCTTCCTTTGCGAGTTCTCTTCATTTTTTTGTATACTTAGCAGTGATTTTAGTGTAACCCTAATTTTTTTTCTCCCCCACTTTAATAATAATAATAATAATAATAATAATAATAATAATAATAATAATAATAATAATAATAATAATAATAATAATAATAATAAAAATAATAAATAATAATAATTAATTATTATTACTATAATATAAATATTTTTTATTATATGGGCATTTCAGTTCCTAAGTTGGAAATAAAAATATCTACTACGAATAAGCGACTCTTGATAACTTCGAAGAACCAAATATATAATGATATTTCGAAAGTACAATTCTTTTTTTATTTTTTTTCTTTTATTTTTTCTTTTTTTTTTTGTTCGTTTTGTTTCTCTTCGGCAATAATTTATAGTCTCATACAAGAAGTTAACGAATGATAGGTAAGTGAATTATATTTTATATAGTTGAGTAAATTGAATGTTTTATGATTTTAGTTTTTTTTATATTTTCTTTTTTCATACTTTCGGTTTGTTTTAATGACACGTTTTTTTTCGTTTTTCTTTTTTCTTTTTTATTTTACCCCATTTCATTTCGACATATTCCTTTTTTTTTTGTAAAATACACTGAAGTTGCCGCCACGAGCAATGATTTTTTTCATTGGTTGCGTTGCGCGATGTCGCACACGCACCTTGGTGTGAAACGACTGAAGTAAAAGAAAAAAGCATGGATAAGGCGGAATGCATGCAGCATGTGCCGCGAAATTTAAAATCCCTTTACGGCAGCCATAAAGCGATAACCTGTTTAACCAGTCCAGCGACCGTAGTGTAGACGCGGGACGTTTTACCTCGCAAAATCATTTCTATTCGGCCGTTTTTCACATAGCAAATTTTTCTCCAAACGTCTTAGACTTTTCCTCTCTCTCTCTCTCTCTCTCTCTCTCTCTCTCTCTCTCTCTCTCTCCCTCCCTCCCTCCCTCCCTCTCTTTCTCTCTATGACTATAGTGCGTTTCAAAAGAAATCTTCCATCGATTTTTCAATCGGAATACGTTCATCGATTTTCATTAAAATATCTTGTGATGTATTCAAACCATAGAAATAAATCGAGGTAGGTCTATTTTAACGAAGTTTTATTACAATTAGACATTACAATTTGCATGATTTCGGAATAATAGAATAATAATGACAAATATGAATATATAACATTGTTGTATGAAATATTGCAAAGAAAAAAAGCTTCTACATAACGTCGATAATGTAGAAATATGTATCATAATTTTAATATCCGCTAGGGTTCGCTAAATGAAATCGTATATTTTCATGGATCGTGCCATTCTTTTTTT